TTGTGTTTGTCTCTTACATCTTTGAAACACGCTTCTGTTCCCCCCCCCTCTCGATTTTTTTCAATTTGACGTTCCTCTCTGTGAAGCCAGAAGTCAACTAAAGGGCTAATGATAAACAAATATACTAATAAATTTCCTGATTCATCCTCTATTTCACAAAGTGGTCATTAAGTCCAAGTTGTTTAGAAGCCCAAGTTTGGACTTTTTCCAACCCGAAAGGCCCAAGTTCTCCTAATTTCTATGTGCTCTGACAATTCCTAAAACTCAATGCGTGCTTATGCTAGCGTGTATTCGTCAGTATTCATGGATTTGCTTTTCAGCTGCGCACACCCACCTTGCAGAGTGGTCCAACATACTAGTTAAGTTGGAACAATACCGAGGGTAGGAGAATCCGACCATCTCACTATGGAGGTTCAATGATGACATTATCAACGCCTCATAAGTGGGCTTGAATTTATGTGATCGGCTAGAGAATCTATATTACCTGATGAAAGCCGAATGGTTATACCTAATGGTAGGCTTTATGTTAGTTCTTTAATCCTTGAGTTGATTTCAAGCTTCACAGAGGAGAGGAATATCAACGTCACTAGAAGTCGAGGTGGGGTTGGGGGGGGGGAGGGATGGATGGATGGAATAGCGAGTGACAGATGCAAGAGGCAGCCAAACACAAGGATAGAGAAAAGGTGAGATGAGTACTGCGGAAGTGGTCGAGTGTGACAAACAGTAGGGCCATTGCACCTTAAAATCAACTACCGGTTCATAGACTTTTATGGCGTATGAGAATACGTTGCCCAGGGTGCACCATGTGGAGGCAAGTCTATTGCGCACCCCCTGTAAGAAGAATTTAATATGAACTGCTACGATTAAGGCATAGCTGAGCTCGCAATTTTATAATTCAAATACTAAAAAATCAACTTTAATTTGAATTTATGTCAAAGTACGATTTCTCTGTGTGTGTGTGTGTGTGTCAAAGAATTAAGTAACAATGGCCGATGTTTTTGAATTTGCTTCAAACGAACTTTGAGTTTAATTTCAGCCTTTAGAAAGACAATTGCAGATATGGTGATTCAATCCACCCTACCGTTTATGAAACATAAAACAACCCGAAGTTGTCACCGAAGTTGTCCTTAACATTTTGGCTGACCTTTGTTTACGGAAATTTGTCTTTTTCCTCTCATTGGTATTGTATTCATGGAAGCAAAATTTCTCTCCACTCAGGTTAGAGAGACTTTTCAAGGTAACCCAAATAAAATTTACTTTGTCAGGGAGGTTAGACCAGCCTTTTTTCTGGGGGTGGGGGGGGGGGGGGAATTGGTCAACCGCTCTTTTCGGTCAATGCTAACATTGATGAACATTGGTTAGTTCCCAGAAAAAAAAACAAAAACACAGGTTTTAAAATAATGATTTATTAAAGAGCGGGACGTCTTAAACGGGAAGACTTAAATTTAAAATAAAGAAGTGGAGCTTGAACCAGCATAGCCATGTGCATGACCCATTCGACCACTGGGCACTCCACTACCCCAAAGAATTTCTCCTGGGTGGAAGAAATTTTCCGTTCTCGAGTTGTTCAAATTCTCTCGCCGTCGAATCTTCTTCAACGCCACATTAAGTAATTCCAGTGCACCGGACACATCTGCCGGTTTTGATGTCTGAACTGAGGCTGAAGACTCAAAAGTCGGCGTCGGGTTCACAGGTCGACAACAAGGACATGGGGTCTCGTCCGGTTGTCTACATCGGCAATGTTCACATTGGCAACAACAGCCCCCTCCTATTCCACCAGCTCCATTTAAACCCAACAGTGCCTCCATAGTGGAGAGAATGCCTCTAATAGAGCCTTCTCACTCGGTTTTTAAACTCTTCACCTACTGCGTAGTATGGAATGAACTTTAGATGGGTTGTTAACGCAACTCACTGACCTTAGATCCTCGCAAAACCAATGTTTTAGCCTTTCGAAAGTCATTCAGTAGCAGTCCCTATCATGAAAAGGCAGTTTCTACCGAAATTGCTTATTTTAGCATGTCTTCTTTTTACTGCTGTACAGACGGAAGCGGGTTGTTTCCCTAAATGCAAACGCAAGCCAAAATCTAGCCCGATTTTAGTTGCAGTGCCAAACAAGACTTCGACAGAGGAGAGGCAAGCAGAACGAGATGAAGAAGAAGAAGCAGGAGGAGGAGGAGGAGGCGGAGGACAGAATGAAGCAGTTGTGGAAGTCATAGCTCCTCCAGTAGTCCAAATGACCGAGCAGAGCGTTGAGGCACCAACTGCAGGAGCGCAAAATGAACGACAGGAAAGCGATGCAATTCAATTACTTGCTCGAGTTCTCAACGATATTACTGAAAGACCTCGACCACAAAGGCGAGATTATTATGCTTATCCAGCCCTTATGGATATGTCAACGCCGTCCATTATTGAACAGGTATTCAGGGCCTACATATTGGCCGAGATTCACCGAATTGAGAGCAAGATGAAGCCCAAGTGAACTAGTAAATTTCATGCCAAGTGAATTTGTGTGTGTATATGCTTTGTAAAATTTTATTGTTTATATATATATATATGTATTTAAAGTTTCCGTCATGATTTGTTTTATGCGTTGAAAGTCAGTACCGGTCAAAGCGAATTGCATATTATTGTTATATTTATATTATTCTGACAACTGCATTGGAATAACATGCACACAAATTAAAAGTTATCGACATTTAAGCTAACTTTAATGCTAATTTCATCCGGTATTTTGAAACTCCGTACAAGCCGATTTCAAATAAGAAGGCAGTGACTTAGTTGCCAACCCAATAAATAAGTGAACGCTAATAGTTGAGTGAAAACTATTTTGGGTGTGCGATAGACCTACCTTCACGTGGTGCACCCTGGGCAACGTATACTCATACGGCAATAAAAAGTCTATCAAACCGGCAGTTGACTTCTCACTTCAAACTACCATGACCCCACTGTGGCAGTTGACTTCTCACTTCAAACTACCATCACCCCATTGACGGGCAACGTATACTCATACGGCAAACAAGTCTATAAACCAATGGGCAACGTATACTCAAACGGCATACCTCCACGTGGTGCACCCTGGGCAACGTGTACTTACAACCTCCATGTGGTGCACCCTGGGCAACGTATACTTATGCGGAAAAAAGTCTATTGACTGGTAGTTGACTTCTCACTTCAAACTACCATCACCCCACTGTATAGTTGACCACTGACTTCAAACTACCATGACCCCACTGTATGCCTTGACTTCTGACTTCAAACTACCATGACCCCACTGTATGTTACAAAGTATACTCATACGGCAAAAAGTCTATAAACCGGCAGTGGACTTCTGACTTCAAACTACCCTCACCCCACTATATGTCACAACTTCTCACTTCAAACTACCATCACCCCACTGTATGTCATTGTGTATGCGCATACGGCAAAAAAGTCTATAAACCGGCAGTTGATCTAACCCTAACACGGCAAAAAGTCTATAAACCGGCAGTTGACCTCTGACTTCAAACTACCATGACCCCACTGTATGTCATATTTCTGACTTCAAACTACCATGACCCCACTGTATGTCATATTCAACCAAACTACCATGACCCCACTGTATGTCATATTCCACCACTGTCACAGTACTCACCTCACCTTGTCTCTACCTTCGTGTCTATCCTTTACATTTGTAAATCACTATTCTGTCCCCTCCCACCCCCCCGCACCTCTCGATTTTTTGATGTACCTCCTCACCTCTGTGAAGCCCGAAGTCAGCTAAAGGGCTAATGATAACTACCAAAACGCCTTCCATTTGAAATAAATAAATAATGATAAGAAATGGCCCCATTTAAGAAGTAATACATCCAGAAACATCCTCATGAGAGTAAAATAGTATGCGGTTAAATTTTAAAGAACGATATCTGGCATTAACGGGAAGTGGTTGATTTGTAAATGATTAAGAGTTAATCACGTTAAGATATGCACCGTCATCAATTAGACCTTAAATCAATCACATTATAAGTGGCTAACGTGGTATTGCACAGAAAGTGGTTAGTGTGGCAAGGAATTTGGTTTGAAAAAGAGGTCAATTAAGATAAATAGTACATTGATCTTAAAAACATACGACCTTAATTGAAATTAGAGGAAATGTTCTGTCGATTCGGTTGTAAATATGCAAAATATTCGCGTGAAATTCACGTGTTATTTATATGACACGTGTATCTACGCCAGTAAGCATACAAACATATACTTCAGTACAGCCGCACAAAATACACATTCATTAACTAATAATGGAAGAATTTTCGAAAATATGTAAGTGAAGAGAGCGTAAAAGATAGCATGGACAAAGTAAGTTTAGGGAGAACCTTAATTTACAGTAACAAAAATTCAACTAATAACGCACAACAATACACAACGAAACAATACAAAACAAAACAATAGAGTAGAAGCTCAACGTCTGCGCACACGTCTAAATGGGTTTGTAAAGAAAGACCTGATCGAACGAAATATTGTTCTCCAAAATGGAGTTCCTCTCCGCTGGTGACAGGCGGGGCACAGGAAGGAAGAGTTAGAGCGCTCACTTTCGATTAAGCATTGCATATGATATGGCCGCTCACAGCCTCGACATCTGGTCATCGTGCCGTGTGATATACCACGATAACACCTGTGGCATATGTGATAGGGCGATATAAAACCCATGTAATATCTAGCGCTGAGGCGAGATTGAGATGTATCGGCAATTAGAGCAAAGAATCGGTCAACTTCATCGTCGCTCTCGTCGGTATCATCCTCAAACACTCCCTCTAGTCGATCCACCAGTTGATGTCCAAGCTTCTCCTAAAATGTAATGACTTTCAAACGTGACCTCTTCAACAAACCTCTTCCACAACTGGACCACCAATTCGGTGGAGTATACCGATGGTGTCAAATGGTGTACGGTCAAGAGGACACTTTCTTCTAGTTCCAGACCACCTTTTGATGCAATCGTAGCAGAAGATATGTTTGCATTCACATAGCATTCCGAGTGGGAGTTTCAATTCCTCCAGACACACAGAGCACTTGTCTGCACACGACAT